CAAGTTTTGTGTGTGTGTATTTTACATGTTTGTTAATAAAAAAAGAAGGAAAAAATAGGCTTATGAGTTCTGGCCTCCTACAGCCCTCAGTCAGTGAAAATGGAGCTCTTGAGGACCACCCATGGCTCTCCCGTGCTCCGTTTTCGCTGGCAGTGGAACTGTGGGCTGGTCTTTCACTGTTTCCAGGACGGCCCCATGGGCCAGCTCTAAGCACCCTGTGGGCCGAATCTGGCTCCCAGGCCTTGAGAAAGGCAAAAACTGTCACAATCCGGCCCGTGACGCAATTGAGTTTGACACCCGTGGAATAGAATAGTAGAATAGGCTGAACTCAATTGGAAGGAAGAAATAAGTAACAGGATGTGACTGGCCAGTTGCTATCTGGCATGTTCCACTTGTTTGCTAAGTGGTTCTGGGATGAGGCTAATCTCATTTTGGTATCTTATATCTAAAAGCCATTCCCTAATCTTTTTCTTCACCTGAGGACATTCCAAGGGATGTAAAACTAGCTGCCACACATGGTAAATGTTTACCTGTAACTGCCTGAGGCCAGAAAAACTAATATTGGATGAAAGGGGTCAGAGGAAAGGCATTAAATATTAGCTACCGTGTTTGTGCCTCAATCTCCAGCTGTCCTAAATTTAGTTTGCACTATTTGTAATGACTTTTATTTGCACAGTTGTGAGTGTTAGGCCAAATGAACTAGTCATCTGGCTGCAAATAATTTCAAAACTGCAGAAATGCATTGTCTTCCTTTAAAACCCATAGAAGCATTTCTTTGGGCCCATGAAATTATAAAAGTCAATGTTTTTTTAAAAAAATCTCATATCCTGGAATACTACACTTGGATATCATCTCCTACCCATTTATTATACAACCCACGTTTGTAGTGCTTTTTCTTCTGTTTTGGGTGGCAAAGATCATCATTTTGATTTTCTGAAAACTGATTACTAGGTGGCTGATGGGCGAATCATCAAAAAGCAGCAAAAGTTTGACATTCACAGTGGATCTTTTGAAAAAATGGAAATTTGGGTCAATGAGCTTTTTGACAAGCTAATTCAACTAAAGCTTGATTAGTAAAGGTGCTTGTATGCACCTTTATGTGTGATACTCTTTGTCAAGTGTGTCTACAGTGTGACTATTTTGAGACAACCCAGGAACAAAATACAGTAAATAGAGGTTTGTCTTTCAAACAGTGGTTTATCTACAAGGAATATATACATACACATACTAGTCAGGCAATCAATCATCAACTATAGCATGGAAGGAGAGAGAGAGAGAGAGAGAGAGAGAGAGAGAGAGAGAGAGAGAGAGAGAGAGAGAG